AACTTAGTAAAATATTTGAAACTTAGCACAGCTGAATTTAAAACTGCATAGGCTTACCTTATATTTCTTAAACAGTAGCTACATGTACACATTTTTGCTGCTCCACCTATTTTCTTTAAAATGTCATGACTTCATTTTTCTTTACAGCTGAATAAAATTTCATTGTGTATGTATACCATGTAGTCTTCATTTTCTGGCTATTGTAACAATGTATCAATAAACATAGATGTCCAGGGATCTCAGTGGTCAGTTGACTTTGGGTGAATAACTGGAATGATACACCTGAGTCATATAGAAGCTCCATTTTAAAGTTTTTGGAATATTCCATATTTATTTCCTTGCAGGCAACACAAGCTTACATTCTACCAGCAGTGTAGCCTCAGCATTATTTGTTGTCATTTGTGTCCTTGATGATAGCTCTTCGAACGAGAGGAGATAGAATGTCTGAATGTCAGGCTTCAATTTACATTTCCCTGATGAATAAATATACTGGACAATTCTCAAATATTTGTTGGTTGATTATTCTTCTTTACTTGTTTTTGAGAACAGTGTTCAGTTCATTATTGGTTGGATGATTCAGAGGTTTGTCATTTAATTTCTGTACCTCTTTATATATTATAGTTATTAGTCCCCTCTCTGATGTACAGTTGGTCAAGATTTTTCTCTTTACTCTGGTGACCCTTTCTCTCACTGAACAGAAGCTTTTTTATGTTTCAAGCAATCCTGATTGTCAGTTCTTGCAGTTATTTTGTGTATGGTTGGTGTCCTTTTCAGAAGTGCTCATCTGTGCTGCTTTGTTCCAGCAGCTCTGGAGTTTGGGGTCTTACATTAAGGATCTGATCCATATTGAATTGATGATTTTGGTTAAAGATGGTCCGTTCTTCTACATGAAGAGATCTGGTTTTCACAGAACCATTTGTTAAATGTGGTTTTGCAATTTGTGTTTTTTGACAGCTTTGTCAAAAATTAAATGGCTATAAATATGTGAGTTCATTTCTGCATCCTCCATTCTATTCCATTGGATCACATGCCTATTTTTGTGCCAGTATCAAAGAATTTTTGTTACCATGGCCCTATAGTACCAATTTACATCAGGTATCGTGATGGGTCCAGCTGTTTCTGCTACCAGTGTCTTTGACTATTTGGAGGTTTTCATGCTTTCATATGAATTTTAGTATTGTTTTTTCTAGTTTAATGAACAAATAGTGCAGGAATTTTGATTGGGGTTGTATTGAGTCTGTAGATTGCTTTTGGCATTCTAACCATTTTCACACTGTTAATAATTCTGCCAATCCACGAGCATGGGAAGTCTTTTGAAGGGTTGTTTTTTGTGGGGGGAGGGGAGCTATTGTTGTTATTGTTGTTGTTTTATATTTCTGTACATGCACACAAGTATGTGAGGACTCTTGGAGTCCAGGGGCATTGGATCCCTTAGAGCTAGAGTTACAGAAGGTTGTGAGCCTCCCTGTGCCTAGGTTCAGGGAACAAAATTCAGATTCTCTGTAAGAGCTGGAGCCATCTCTCCAGCTTTGAGGAATGATCTTACAAAGAATTTGGGCAAAGCCAGGCATGGCAGCATTCATCTATAGATACTCAGGATTCTAAGGCAAAGGATCATTTGAGCCCAGGAGTTCAATACCAGCCTGAAGGACATAAGAAGACCCACATAGATAGCCCTGCTGAGAAACAGAGAGAGAGAAGGAGATTGAAAATCTGTTAGGAAAGTGGGAAGAGTGTACTTAGAAGGATATATCCAATCGAAGTATGTTACATACATCCATGAAAATGCCACAGTGGAGTTGATCATTCTGTACAATGAATACACACTGGGAAAACTTTGAGAAATAATCAGAGATATAAAAGAAGAGGAAATTTGGGATGAAAGGAGAATCAAATTAACTTGAAAATAATTACCAGTTATAAAGACTGTGCCAACCCCAAGGACACCTTGTGTCCTCTCAGGACCCAGTCTGTCTTACTATGACTGTAACTACTGCAGATGACAGTGTCCCACTGCACAAGATTGTTCCAGAGCCAAAATATGAGAGAACAGCTTGGTTTGGGCACTTTGTGCTGCCTCAGATTTATTATCCTATAAACTAGTTAACTAGTTTACATATCCCTTTAGTACTTTCTGGTTATTCAATAAAGATTCCACTAACAACTTAATTGTAGCCAATGAAAACTTGTGATGGCTTAGTATCACTCGGGTACTGACTCATAAAAATCCCTTATATTTGTGCTGAATCAAAATGAAGAAACTGTTAGGCTAAGTAAGATTTTTTCTGTTAACAGAATTGGATGAATTTAATCACAGATTGAGAAATGTGCATTAAGGTGTGGATTTGTCATGAGTTTAGAGACTTTGAGTTAAACAAGAACAAGCAGATAAAGTAAGTGCATGCCCGGCCATATTAGGTCACCACAGTTGACATTATTAACACTTTGCTGTGTTGCTGCTGCTGCTAACAAAATTGTTAATATGCTGCTTTGAAATGCTTGTTGAAATTTTTTTCAGTCAAACTATTTAAAGGATCAATTTTCTCTAGTAGTACCTCTCTTACTAACAATTTCAACCTTATGTAAGAAGTACTTGATTAAAAACATCAAAGCTTTATTCAGTGGTTCATTCCTGCATCCCCAGTAATTATGAGGCTAAGGCAAGATCACAAATTCAAGTTCAACTTGAACTATATAGAATAACTGTCTCAAGAATTTTTTAATTGTCTGATATATTAGTCTCACTCCTTTTCATTTTCTTGCTTTCTATCTGCATCCACTTGCTGTCATCAGGAACCCAACCCTTCATATATCTGCTGACTACATGAATGTGAAGTCAAGCATTTACTTGTCAAAAGTCCACTATATTCCAATGCTGCAACTTCTATAGTCCTTGAAGTTTCATAGCTTTGAAACTTCTCTGTCGACCTAATAGAAGGAGGTCATATACATATGTAGCTTGGTGTTGAATCAGTTATTAGAAGAATCCCAATATGTGACTCCTGGGTTCCTTCTACACAGAATTAGTTCTTTTTGCTTGTCCTATGAGTTCTATCTGCCTTAGCATCCTGAGATCTATTTTTTTTTTTCTGTCTAGTAAGGTAACTGTTGATTTTCATCTATCCTGTTTGAAAAAATATTCCCTAGAAGAAGATAAATAATATGTTAATTTTTCTGTCAAAGATCACAGCTTTATCCTGTTATCCAAAGCCTGAAAATAGAGAAACTAAATACAGAAATTAGTTTTATTGTAGCTTGTTACGATAAATCTTTCCACCAAAAGCCGCCGAGTCCCACTGCCACGTGTGTGCTTTACGCCAACTGCCCGCCCAAGTTAGGGCCCCAATTAATGCACAGAGAGACTTGTATTAGGTTCAAATGCTGCTTGGCCAATGCCTAGGATTCTCATCTGTTAGCTCAGCCTCAATTATCATAAATCTATATCTTTTATACGACTTATCTTATCGGATGCGTTATTGGCGTCCCTCCTTGCCAGTGGATCTCATTGTGCTGCTGGAGGAAGAGAGGAGGGGAAAAAGGGGATACTTCTGTTTCTCCTTTCTTAAATATGAGTCTCCTTGGTATGTCAATTCCTGCCTGGAACACCACTTCTCTACTACATTTCCCAGAATCCTCTTTGACTCCAGTCCCGTCTAACTTGCTGTCTCATTGGCCAAACAAGTACTTTATTCAATAATCAATAAGTTGAACATACACAGTACATTCCCCATCAGTAGCTTCTCATGAAAGGGCAGGTTTGATGTCCATTATTCTATTATGGCAGAAGCCAGACACTTGCTGAATTGATTTTCCTTAAGATGGCTTCTTAAGGCTGGAGGGAGAGCTCGGCCACTAAGGTCAAAGGCTCCCAAAACCTCACACACCAAAATGGCAGACAGAGCTTGGCTTCCAAGATAGCCTTGGTGTGTTTGTGTTCTTGAATCTAGACTACAGCTCATTGTGTGCTATCCTTTAAGTTTTTGTAGAATGAAATGGCTTTTATGAAGTTCTGTTTGGAGCCCCTGTTATAAGGAAGTGCAGCATGGGAATAAAATGTAAGAAGACATCATGACTGTTTTTAAACTTCAAAGATTTCATGACCTTTCAGAAGATAAGACAAGCAGCACTTAGCAGAGATTATGGGAATTATGATGAGAACTGATGTGCTCGAAACAACCTTAAAATTCATCATTTAGTGATGAGTGTACAGCTTAAACACTTACATAAGTTATCTGATCTTTTCTTCGTTCATTTGTTTGTTTTTGAGATTGCCTCTCACTATATATTTCTGACCAACCTGGATCTTGCTATGTAGGCCAATCTGCCCTTGAACTCACAGAGATCCACTTGTCTCTGCCTCAAGAGTGCTGGGGTTGAAGGCAAGCCCCACCATGCTAACTAAACTTTAATTTAATCTTGTCAATAGTAATGTGAGGCAATATTTTTACTATTTTGGTTTTCTGTTTTCTGTTGTTGTTTTGTTTTGTGCAATTGAACAATAAAACAACAATAAAAAAGTAAAACAGCACAAATAAGGGAAAATAAACAAACATGGGGGGGTCAAAGAAAAAGCACATGAAACACATACAGATGCTGAGAAACACACATTTACTCAACACAGAAAGCCCATAAAAACAAAATCATATAACATATTGTATCAGCAAAAGATCTATAATTTTTAAAAAAATGTCCATACAAAGTATTGTGAGATTCAAAAAAAAAACAAAACTTTCAAAATACCTTGAGTTCATTTTATGTTGTCCAACTACTGCTGCTCAGGGACCTACCCTTGAATGAGATTTGAATTCCCAGTAAGACACCCTTGGAGAAAACTGATTTAGACTTAAAGTTTCAATGTCAAGACAAGAACAAAGAAATTTGAAGTATGAGCAACTTTTATACATTACCTTTGTCCTCTTTCCTCTCATTCAGACTGGCATTTCTCAGTGACTTACTGCAAACATTAAAGATAACCTCATAAATCTTTTCATAATTTGCAGAAAGAAATTCTGGATCAGCAACAGCGAGAGCGAAATGATACGAGCTTTCATGGTGTGTGTATGTTTTGCAGTGAGGAATTCCGTGGAAACAGGTTTGCCATTCTCTATCTATCTTAAATGCTTTGGGCCAATACATCATCTCTGCCCTTTATTAAAGGGTTTTTTTTAGTTGGATTGGAGCAAACCTCAACCCTACATAAAATCATAACTCATCTTAGCCTCCATTCTGAGGTCTTCTTGGCTCTTTTCTGGGTGTTGATACAGGCTTACATTTGCATATGGTCTTCTAAAACCCCCAGCTATATCATAACTTCTCAAAAGGCTTCTCGATATCTCCCTTCCCAGATTGTCTGAGGTGTTTTATCGAGTGTGTAGTGTTTGCCACAATTGAACTTTCCTTAAGCAGCAGCAGTGTTTCAAAAAAAAAAAAAAAAAAAAAAAAAGTCATTGAGTATTTGGGACACATGCTCAGGTGGGGAGATTTTGTTCTCTAAGTCAGCTGAGAACTCTGTGATGAGAGCTTGGGCAGCACCTGCCAGGCAGGGCTGATAGTGACACCCTTTAGTGGTGTCCACTCCCATGCTGCAGTGTGAAAGTCAGAGAGGATCTGCAGAGGGGAATGGAGAGAGCCAGTTAAGACACCGCTGAGCTCGAAGCTCCTGCCATAGTCCAGTCATCTTTCTTATAAATAAGTACTCTGAGTTATTATGAATTTCTAGTCTGCTAGACCTAAGCTGTTTGGTCATTAGTGTTGTCAGGGAGGAGCAGCTGCATGGAGCTCACTCCATCATTCAGTGGGGCCTCTCGTACAACCATCCTCTTACTTAATCCCATTTGTCCAGACCACAGAACTGTAAAGATCTGACGGTGTATGAGATGAAACGGGGGAAGAAGGTAAGACCAGAGAAGGAGACAGAAAAGTTTGTTTCTAAAGTCTACTGAGGAATAATTGAGAAGAAATTATTTGAAAATAAAGTGTTTGAAATAACATTTTAAGTAAAACTTCAATTCTATCTAGAGCGTTTTAACTATATAGTCACAATTATTGCATGCCTTTACGGACCATTGTGAAAATGGAAAAATATAATTATGAAAATACACAAATATATTCACAAATAATGCCTTACTAGCTACACAGCCTTTCCTTAACCAGGCAAGTTGACAGGAAAATTAGCCATCACAGTAATGGAAAGCTAACCCCCTTCTTGATAACTCTACCTATACCTCTTGCCCTTTCAGTTCCTGAATGTCAAGTGTGGAATCCCCAGGAAGTCCTGGTCAAGTTGAGCCACTTCTAGGCAACCCAATAAAAACCAGAAGGACATCAATCTGATCACCAACCCAGAACCCATGGCCCCATGGAGACCATTAGCACCATAATAACCTCTCGTCCAAATGTCTGCAGCCTCTCAACCCTCCCAGGTCTTAAATGGGCATGGAAACCTTGGGAAGATAGCAGGATGACAAGGCAGAAAACTATTCAAGCTTTCTGACCCTTCAGAGTGGAGCTCACATTGTGTGCTGTCATGCCCTCGCTCTCAATATCTAGATGCCTGTCTGGCAGGCCCCAGAGAGTTAAAGGAGGACTAGGCCTCAAGAACACATTCAGAGTGAACAGCAGAGGCTAGAACCATGGGGAGCATCCCAGTACACCTGCAGCTCTTCAGCCATCTGCTGGATCTGTGTCCATTTCAAAACTTGTATGCTAGTCTAAACACTCTGAGCAGATCAGACTCCAGGCCTGCATCCTCTTAGGAAAGACCTCAGAGTTAAAATGACATGGGACTTGCTCCAGTGGAACATATAAAGTGGTCCTAAGAACAGTGCTACCCCAACTCCCCTGAATCCACTCTCTTAGACTCCAGATGCCACTGTTCATAGGGACTTGGGATATCTCTTATCTCACATACTCCTTGAACTAGCCATTGGTTTAGGTAGGTCCCATCTCCTGATTTTAGACTTTAACTCCAGACCTTTAATCTGCAGAGGTTGAGGGAGGAATGGGCTCCCATGGTACATTCAGTATAATTCATAACAACCAGAGACCTTGGATCCATAATTTGGGGTAACAGAAAAGCTGCCAACTTATCTACCCTTGAGCCAGCTGCTATTTCTGACTCCATATAGGAATAGTAGGTATCTGCAACTTATCCTAGAAGTCCTAGACATGTATTTGGGCCCTTTCCTTGGATCCTAAGAACTCGATCCAGTTCTCTCAAGGATTTGGGGTACAGGAAGATTCCTGGCTCAGTGCATCATTCCACTACCATCCATCCACACACCCCGTTTCCTATAAGAAGTTCCCAGTCTCTTTCTAGCTGGAGTCTTCCACAGTATAGGCTCTGCCCTACAGCCCATGTGTAAGATGTCCTGGGAGAACACTGAGGGTCTGACACTGTGAAATACCCAACAAATACTTTTAATTGAACTTATAAGTTATCATTAACAATTAGACAAGGTGGCTTATTAACCACAGATTAATAAATATGCCCCTTCATATCATGAACAAAAAGCATTAACAAACATTCATAGAGAAAAGGTTGCTTTATTTGGAAAAAAATCCAGAAAATACTTTGGAGGAATAAAGTACATAAAATAAACTTAAAATAAACTATGCACAGTCTGACATTGATATACATATTGATACATTCCCTAAAACTCTCACCTTTATTTATTATAAAGCCCTATATTATTATAAAGCCCCATATGCTTCTTTTAAGTTATAAAAATTAAGATTTTTGTGTGATACATATATATCATAGAATATTATTAATTCTATAAAAAGTTATGAACCTCCTGGGAGGCATGATACCAAGTGAAATGAGCCATGCATGGAACAACAAGTATTTCATGATCTCACTCATATGTGGAGTCCAGAAAAAAGCTGAGGTTGTAGAAGTTGATAATAGAGTGGTGACTACCAGTGCCTGGGAAGGGGAGTGGGAAAGGAAAAGTTGATCAGCATTTTTATGTCATATATAAATAGCAGTAAAAGGTCTAGTGTGCTGCTGTTGCTCAATAGTGTGACTGTACCTAGTGCTAATGTGCTGTATACCACAAAAAGCTAAAGAACAAAGATACCAAAGTACTATATGGTAAGCGGTAATCATGTACATCATATTTTTGCATGTAAGTTAAAAATAAATTTAAATTTAGAGATCAAGTTTCTTTTTGTGCAGAAGCTAGTCTACATGGTGGTCATTGTGCTTCCAGGTTATCATGACTCTTGCAGGTAGCATCCATTAACAGTGGGTCCATGTCTCTGTGTGATTCGGTAGTAGGGAGACATCCAACATCTCATGTCACAGAAAAGGCCGTCTTGCATGAGCCAGTTGCCTCTTTTCTTCTCCGTTGTATTAGTCAAGATTTTCCAAAGGAACGGAACCAACATGTGTGCTAAGGGAATGCATGAGAAGATTTAGTAGTGGAATTGCCTGACACATTTACAGAGGCTGTGTAGTCCCACAGTTGTAGCAAGCTTTCCTGTAGGACTATCTTTGGATTGCCAGCCCCTAAATATCGACACAGAGACTCTCTCTCTCTCTCTCTCTCTCTCTCTCTCTCTCTCTCTCTCTCTCTCTCTCTCTCTCTGTCTCTCTGTCTCTCTCTCTCCCTGCCCCTCTCTCTCTCCCTCCCTCCCTCCTCTCTCCTCTCTCCTGTCTCAGGAGGTCAGTCTCCCTCCTCCCCTTTCCCCTTTTTATGGTCACTTTCCCTAATAAAAACTCCTCTGCTTGAATCCTGTCTCATGGCATCTTTCTCTCAAGCACTGCTTTTCTTAAATTTTTCTTTTCTTAAACAGGCTTCCTGCTTCTACACTCAGATGCACACCAGTCTTCTGTGAAAACACCTTCACCACCACACACACCAAATGCTTTCCTAGCTCTTGAGTATTCCTTATCCCAGAAAGTTAATGTCTAAAATTAACCACCATTCTCATAGTGAGTTGGAAAAGCAGAGGCAGCATCACTTATTTACTAGATTAAAGAACAGGATCTGATGTTCCTACCAAGTCTAATCCTTGCAATGTCAGAAAACGGACACGTGTGTTCACATGTTGTTTAGCATGCCCATTAGAACAAGGCTCAGTGTTTATGTCAGTGTTTACTACTTGCTTACCCTCTGATTAACTGTTATTATATAAATGCTATTCCTAGCCTGAAATTATTTGCTCTAAAATTATTTATAAACAATAGAATCTGTTTATATTCCTTCACAGATCCGTTCTGTTGAACCACATGGCCAGAGAACATGCTTTCAATATTGGTTTGCCAGACAACATTGTAAACTGCACTGAATTCCTATGCACATTACAGAAGAAACTGGACAAGTAGGTGCTCTTTCATGAAACAGACTAAACCTAATTTAATCTTAGATACTTCTGAATTTTTTTTAAATTATTTTAATAAATTAATTTAGAATTAAAGAAATGAAAATTACTTGTTTCTTACATTGTGGGAATTTACGATTTTTTGGTATGTATGTATATTGTCTACATTATATTGCCTTCTTCTAATGAGCTTTTAACTTTTTGCATTAAAATACATGATTTATGCCAAATACCATGTTAAGTTATATCGTGAAAAATGTCCTCACCATCTACATACTAATTTCTTTTCTCATTGCTATGACCAAAATACCTGGCAATTCACATCTTAAGGAAGGAAAGGAGGGTTTATTTTGGCATATAGTTCCCAGGGATGACAACCATCATGGCATACCTACAGGGGCAGGAGGCAATTGGTTACAATCTGGAAACAGAGAACAATCCTTGGCACAGTTTCAACTAAACAGCCAAGTTTAGACTACAGCAAAGTAAACTATAGCATGCTTTCTACAAAGCCAAGTGTATAAAGGGAAGGGATTCGTGGAAGGACCATACTACCCTCATTTTTGTTGTGTAACCCAAACAAATAAATGTTAAATTTAAAAATAGGGTTCTTGCAACTGTTCAAGATGCGTTTAGCAATATCTGTGTGTTTTTTTTTTTTTTTTTTTAGTTTACAGTGTTTGTACTGTGAGAAGACCTTCAGAGACAAAAACACACTTAAAGATCACATGAGGAAAAAACAGCATCGTAGGATCAACCCAAAGAACAGAGACTATGACCGATTTTATGTCATCAATTACTTGGTAAGTCTTGCTTTTCATAGTTTAAAATTTGGTTACAATGCTGTAAACAAAATCTACCTACAGGCCAGCTAAAGTCTGAATAATGAATGAATTGTACAAAGGCTGCAAGGTAATGATAGGCATTATCAAGGAGTTAGCAGTGGTTTACAAAGCAAATTTTGATGGGTTGTCTTAGGTTTGACAGATGTGTCTACAATAAAGATGCCCTATCTCTTGAACGCAGTGTATTAGTAACTAGAACCATTCCCCATTTGTAGTGTCTGGCAGTTTGAGGCCAAAGATTTGTGTGTTCTGTTTTTAAGAGCATTTATTGAGTATTGGATGTGCTAGGTGCCACACAAGATAATTCTTTAAAAGCAATGTCTTTACTCTTCTCCCATCTCCCTACTAAATGATCCTCTCCTTATTCTCAAAATAAAATGTGCACCTGTGTCATTGTTTGTGTTAGCTTCTTTTAAGTTTCAGAGAGACTGTTCCGTTTTACTATGCAAGATTTTTTTTTTTTTTTTGATGGCCCGTGCCAAGGATGTTAAATTCATTAAAGCCCAAAGTCTCTACCCTATTTGCTGCTGACTGTAGATTAGTTCTTTGAGGAAAAGAAGAGGTCTTCAGTTAAACACAAAGTCACTGGGGTTATTTAAAATTATAGGAGAGGATTTTGGACTAACATAATGACTGGATAATGCTACCAGGCTTGCCCCTAATCCTCCAACTTTTTAACTTTATATAACGAAACATACTACCCATAACTAGAAAAGGAGTAAGTAATTCTACAGAAAGATAAAAGGTTTGAGTTTTGATTCTGATATTTTCTGAAGCACAGGTTGTTTTTGTTTTTGTTTTCCTTCTCAATATAAGTACACTAAAATCCAAGTCTGTTGGTTTGGGAAGACTGATTGGATATTATCCACTACTTCATGCATTGGGCAGAAAGCAGTAACATGGTTTATATTGGAAACCGCTGCTCTGATGTGCACTTTTTAATGTGTTTAAACTTAGTCATATAGTGTTAAGCTGAAATTCTCCTCAAGAAGTAACCTTAGTATGTGCTTAAAGATTGACTGGGAACTCGCCAGGCTTTCCTACAAATGTTTTACCAATAGCCAAAGGCAAAGGCACCCTCTGAGTCCTTCAATCTTTTCTTAAAACCATTCAGTCATGACTTCCTAGAGCGAAGCTGCTTCAAGGCCCAGCCCAACTCCAGCAGGAAGTGCACTCCAGCACTAGCTGGGGCATGCAGCTGCTATGAAAGCAATTTAATAGTTCTTCCTTCCGGGGCCCTTTTACACTAAGATGCAAGAGCTGCGAATTAGTGAGACACTGTATAGCTGGAGTCTTTACCTTGGAGGGAAACTTCAAAGGGCCCACACACTCATATTCTATTGGCATTTTAAGAAAGTGTGATACTTCAATCCCTGAGCATCAAATAGTGTGACTGGCTGTCAAGCTGAAATTGTTTATGAGTGCCAGCTGTCCCCAGGGGGAACATGATGGATTGTACTAACCACAGATTTGCTGTAGCAACTCCTAGCTCAAGAGAATACCATGGTCTTAGTAAATATGAAATGAAAATGAAATCACAACTTGACAGCAAGTGACAGAGATCTTTCTGTGGGCTGGGCACTCTCAGAGGTGTCTATATACTAGATCACATTTAACCACATCCCCAGGACACAGGCCTTAGTATGAAGCCTACTCTATAGATAAGGAGACTAGGGCATAGTGTGAAATTAAGTCATTCTCACAGGTTCACATCACCAGAGTAAATCGGTTACCCACTACTCTGTTTTCTTTCTTCACATGGTTGAGATAACGCTGGTACCTTCGTTGTATTCTTCAGAAGTGTTACTGTTATGATGTCCTGTTCACCCTTGCTTCTTCTCTTGAAACAAACTCGAAAATAAAGCTGGCTTTAATCTCTGCTTTATGATTCTCACCTATAATCATAGCATTTTTAGCCCAAGTATTGAAATAAATATTTAATAAATGTGAAAATGATCAGGAAAAAAATTAAAGTATATTCTATGCATTAGAATTTTTGAAATGATGCAAATACCTTTGAAAGGTACAGAAGAAAGCAACAAAGTCCCTGAGATGTGTGACTGCTCTGAACTAAGGAATACCCACCAGACATGTCAGCCTTGACATCCTAGGGGTGCTTAGTCTTGTTATAAGGAAAAAGCATAATAATATTTAGGATATGCACATAAGAGACTGTTCCAAATAGTATTAATATGTCATTAAAGAAAAATTAGAGCCAGCAGTTTCTCAGAATCATTATAGTCTTATTTTAGACATGTTAATGAACACTATTTAATGTGAAGAACAAGTTGTTAACATGAAGAATAAATTCTCTAAAATTTTGCCTAAGTGATGAGTAATGATAAAACCTTATTTTTAAAAAAGCAAAGGCAAAATAATAAGAGACATTCATGTCATATTCCTCAGGGGACATGGGCAAATGACACAGCTGTATTAGTAGTCTGCTGTGTGTCCTTTCTGTCTATTTCATGCTCTCCATGCATTTTCAAGTGCCTTCCAGATACTAGACGACGGGCAGAAGGAAGCATTTTGCAGTCAGGGTGGCTGATTAGGTCTCTACTCTCAAAGTTCAGAGGCTGGAATAGGAGGCTGGTGTGAGCACATTCAATGAGACTCTTGTCCAAAAATCAACATTTGACCTCTTCTGTGGGGAATGTGAATAGTAACATGACCATCTACCATGGAGCTTCTTGCTCATTGCAAACACTCCTGGCATCTCCAGAGCCTCCCAGATAACCTAGTAAGATGCTCTCCAGTGTCATCAAAGAAGGAAGAACAAGAACAAAAAGAAGCTGTTCTCAACTTCCCTCCGAACTGAGAAAATTGACAAGTGTTGTGCTTCCTCTTGGGTGTGATAATTTCTATGCCTAATAACTTACATTAGTTATTGATGTAACAGACTTGCAAACACACTGACTCTCCTTTGCACAGTCTGGACCATGTTCCTCAAATCTTGCTTTGTTTCTCCCTCAACTAGAGTTCAGTGAATAGTAGTAACTGCTAAGAGACACAATCTCCCTTAGCTTCACAGTCAAATACTCTAGCCTCAGGGACAACAAACTGCTTGACATCACTGGGCTCCAGCCACATGGTTCTAAGGCACTCAGGCCTCAAGCCCAGAATCTTCAAAAGGAATCTATTTCTGTTATGGCTTTTATCATTTGGAGTGTTTTATTTTATTTTAAGTATATGAAGCCACATGGAATAGTAGGCTCCTGGCCTGAAGAGTTTTGTTACAGTCCTTTAAATCCTTCCCATTGAAAGATGTATCTGTTCCTCTGTCGTGTGTGTGTGTGTGTGTGTGTGTGTGTGTGTGTGTGTGTGTGTGTGTGTGTGTGTGTGTGTGTGTCAGACAGGCAGGCAGGCAGGAAGGCAAAGAGGGATAGAGGGATCAAACTAGATGAAGGGTCCTGCTTGAGGGAGATCTTTCCCATTTTTCCTCCATCCTCTCATTGCTCACAGGCCATCTGATGCAGGGGTTTGAGGGGGTGTTTTGAACATCTTTACAGACATGCCTTCCAAACTTTGTTTTTCCTGTGTTCTTAGCTTTCCTGACATGATTCATTAGCACAATGTCTTAATTAGAAAATCATGTGCCTTGTTTTTTTCCATGTTTTCCCCCATTAGCTCTTGTCCCTAAGCAGAATACTTTAGGGAAGTGTAGACCACTGTCAAGTGCAAATTACTTATTTCCTAATAAGTTTGATAAATTTTAAAAGTTGTATTATGAAGATAAATTGCTACAGGTTATAGTGAACAATTACAAAAAAATTACAAAATTATGCTTGAGTTACAAAGTCTGACAATGGAAAAAAATCAGTTTTTTCTTTGACTCAAAACACTGTTAAGCAGGGCAATGATGGCACATGCCTTTATTCCCAGCACTCGGGAGGCAGAGGCAGGTGGATCTCTTGAGAGTTCAAGGCCAGCCTGGTCTACAAGAGCTAATTCCAGGAGGGGCTCCAAAGCTACACAGAGAAACCCTGACTCGAAAAACAAAATAAATAAATAAATAAAACATTGATAAGCACCGTTTACTCCTTTCAGTTGGTCATATCACAGATGGCCTCTTCTTGAATGCCTTGTAGCAATAAAAGTATAACCATATATCCTCGTCCAGAGAAACCAAGCATAGAATGAAAATTTTAACATATTATCAAAAATTCTTGCAGCAATCCTGTTAACAGTGTTGAAACCATTCTTGATGCCCTGTAATGAGGTGCAGACAGTCTACGATGACTCTACAGAGTACATTAGAGTTCAAATTAACTGTCTTTAATGACAGTATGGTAGATACCAGCATGTCTGGGTTTATGCATCGTTTGGCTGATAAGTAATGACAGCTCCAAAGACTTTCATTAAGCTGGTGAGTGATAGAGTTTCCTGCTCCCTCTTAAGCATAATGCTGTGCATAGTTCTTTGTTTGGGGGGGAAAGCGTGTCCATAACTGAGAAAGTCTTGGTTACAGGGTTCTAAAAGAAAGACATTGAATGAGAAGGATGCCTGTACTCAGAGCCAGCCCGGCTGCACGACTGTGCATGGAGCCACCCAGGCTGCATGGCTGTGCATAGAACCAGCCCAGGTGGGCTTGACCAAACCTGTGTCAGCGCACTGAAAAGATGTCCAGTGACAGGCCCTCATCAGCTTTGGTATACAGATTTGATTGAGAGAAGACAGGTCATAAAGAGGGAAAAATAGTTCAAAGGAGAAAATAGAAATGACTGGGCCTAATCATCCTTCTGTGGGGTTTTGCTGACTTTCCACACAAAGGACCCTAAAAGTGGAACTTATGCTCTAAGTGTAAAGGATAAAAGGACTTAATAGATTTTGACTACCTATTCATACCCAGCATGTGCTTTAATTGTCTCACAAAGGCCTTTTAAAGTAATGTCTGCATTGACCTCACATTTTCATTCTTTTTCAGCCACAACTTAAAGAAAAGTTTGTGGGTGAAATCAGAAAATGTAACCAGGAACAAAGGCCATGTCTCCTTAGACATTCAAGGGGAGGAGATGAATAGCAAATAAAAAACACACGCCCATTCGCACAGCAGTGCTTGGAATGCCTGCAACACATGGAGGGATGGATATAAAGTTTGGGCTTCATACATTTATACATACATACATTAAATACTGGATTTAATCATTTCATACATACTCCATCCTTCTCTCACCTCCTGTCTCTTCCCCTTGTAGCCATCCTTCTTTTTATCAAATCTCCCTATCCCGTATTTTCATGTCTTCTTTTTCTGTATGGCCATTGCATTTAGAGTTTCTTGCCTGAGCATGGGTGGGAGGTTATTTACTGGAGCAAGGGCAATTTATCAGTGGCTACAACACTGAAGAAAATCACAGCTCCTCCTCCAAAAGCAGTTGCCAATAGTCCCTCAGTCAGGATGGGGCCTCATGGGCCCTTCCAGCATCCATGATGAAATATTGTCGAGGGGCTCAATAGTGTGCTAGTTTTGTGCAGATAACCACAGCTACAGTGAGTCTCCAGATGCAATGGCTACGCCACAGCCAGAGACACCTTTTTTAGTGGAAGGACAGACCAACGAGAGAAAGCCTGAGTGGTTGTGTTGAAGCAGAGGTATGGAAAGTAAGCATTCCAGGCAGAACATTCATGAGTGAAAGCAGCTGGTGGAAGCTAGTGTGCTGTGTTGAGGGCCCAGCAGGAGTACCAGCCTGGCTAGAATGTCCTAAGGAAGAAAGGGGGCAGCAGGAAATAAGGATGCAGAAGGAGCCGGGCAAGGGCACAGAGGTGTTCTGTGATAGGCAGCTATGAGCAGTTTCTATATACGAAGAACTGTTCTTCAGGGAGATCACTGTGGCTGCTGCCTGAGGAAGAGACTACCAGAGAAGAAGAAAGGAAGCGATCATACAAGCATATCCAACTTCAGCCAGGGGCAGCTGTGAAAGCAGCCAGTAGAAAAATCCTTCTTAAACGTCCATAAACTTCCTTAAAACATTATGGGGCGGGGGCGGGGGGGGAGCAGTTTGTTGGTGCTGTTGTTTGAGTTGGAGGATTTTTATATGTGTATAATGTGCATGAGGGCTTGTGCCGATTCCTGCAGAGGCCTGAATGATGCTGAGTGTCCTCCCCCTTCACTCTCCGCTTTATTTACTGAAGTGGTTTCTCCCTGAAGCCAGGAGTCACCAACTGTAGCTCGTCTTGCTAGCCAGCTGGCCCCAGGGATCCCCTACTTGGGCTTCCCAAGCGCCAGGATTACAGGTGACCATCATGCCTCCCAGCCATTTATGTGGGTTCTGGGAATCCAAAGTCTGCTTTCCACCCTTGTGCAGTACATACGCTATCCACCAGGTGCTGACAGAGGTGGTGGTTAATGTTTCTGTGAGGGGTTTCAACTTGATTGTGTAGTTCTCAAGCGTCAACTCTGTAGATGATAACATCACTTTGCAATGTCAAAGGCAGGGATACACTGCTAGGAGGCAGGAGGCATCTCAGAGTCTTTCCCAGGTGCTCTTGGTCGTTTTCATAAATAAATAAATAAATAAATAAATAAATAAATAAATAAATAAATTCAGCTCCTGAAGTGATTCTAATATATATCCAGGGTTGAAAACCAGTGAGTTAAAATTAAAGGGGGCAGGTGTGATTAAAAGGCTATTGCTGTCTCTCCAAAAACAAATATTCTTACTGTTTTACTTTTAGCAATTTAGGGTTTATCTATCTCAATCACAGCAGTGAACTTTTAAATGTTCCTCAATTGTGCTGCTTCAAAACATCTGAGGGAGTTTGTTTTAGAGATGCTGGTACCTTAAGTTCTGTGTCTATAGTCTCACTTTTTTTTTTTTCACCTCTTATTAATCGCTCTCCACCTCTGCTCTTCCCGCAAAGGAACTCGGGAAATCATGGGAAGAGGTGCAATTGGAAGATGATCGCGAGTTGCTGGGCCTTCCAGAAGAGTAAGGCGCGTCTCTGTTGCTGGTTAATCAGAGTGTTGAAGAACAAGCACACAATTCTCTAATTTGGTCTATAATTATCATCCCAAAGAGAGAGAATAAAAGGAAAGTCTCCTTGAGCCATGCATCCTTTCATGAAATGGCGAAGTTTTAAAATTAAGATAATTTTCACATAAAAATCACTAAAGATGAGTTTGAGAGTTTGGTTTGGGTTTCGGTTTGTTTTTCACTTTCTACTTTTTTGTAGAGAGCAAGACATACAACCACAGTAATTATGTTAACACAGATAGATATTGTCAGCATCTTGGATAGAAACCTGCTGAAGATACCATAACAGTAAAGCCAGAAATCTGATTGAGGCTTTCTGATTTCTTCGTATTCTTTTCTACTATACGTTAAACTGTCATCAAAGGGAATTTGGATAAGGAAAATAAATTCATGCTTTGCGTGATTATATGTACTGATACTGTGTTAGCCAATTTACTATTTGATCCTTATATCTGTCCCTGTGAAACAGTGCTATTTGAGTCTGGTAGTGAACTGTGCTGCAGGCAGGTTACACAGATTGTCTCAGGTCACAGTTAGTAAGTGATGGCACTGAGTGAGATGTCTCTCTGTGCCCATTTGCTGCTTCTTCCTTAGCAATGTAAAACCTGATAACCATCAGGGTGCCATATGCCATGTAAATAAAAGGCTTCCACAGCCCTTCTTGCAGCTAGATGTGGCCATAAAAATGCACTTTGGCTACAAAGATTTGAGTACATGAAAGCACACTGCAAAGTGCAGAAGCCATGTTTCAGTACTGCAGTGTGCATGGCCCTCTTTCTTTCCCCGTCACTACAGCTCTAAGCACCTGATGAGAGGCAACGTAGGAAGAGAAGGCTTTCCTTGGGCTGAGGGTTGTGTGGCGGGGCAGTCATGGAAGCTGGGGCTCCATCACTGCTGATGGGGACTTACAACATAACTGTTCCCATCTTCAGACAAGGAAACAGAAGCCTTGAGCCAGAACCTGCCTCTTCTCACTGCCTCCTCAGCCCTAAGTTGGCCAGCAAGACCCCACATCTAAATGGTCCCACAACTCCCAAAATTGCTCCACCCCCTGGTTGAGCTGCCCATGGGTGCTGGGAACCAGACTCAGGGCATCTGTAAAAGTCATGCTCTTAAGCAGTCAAAAATTGAGTGGATCTTCAAAGTTATAGCAGTGCTAGATTTTTAATGTTCCATGAGAAAGTCTCCCTTGTCCAAATATAAATGTGTATTTCCTTATCTTCACAATTCTTCCCTAGTGGCAGTTTTTCTGGTTGGAGGATGACAAGGAGTTGGGAATGCTGGAAAAATAAATGCATGGGATTAGAGAATGTAGTCAAAAGGGCCCTGTATGATTGTTGGAGATTGATGTATTCATGTGTGTGCATGCTCTTGTGTTTGTGGGTGGGTACCGCTGCGCATGTGCTCAGGGTCCTCTGTTTCTCAGGCAGATCTCTCCCTGAACCCGGCCTGGGCTTGTGTTTTCCAGGCTAGACTGAAACCCAGCAAGCTTGTGTGATATTCCTATATATACCTCCTTCAAAGATGGGTTACCGGTGTGTGTGTGAGAACCCTATTTGTTATGTGGATGCTGGGATCCCACCTCTAGTCCTCGTGATTGTGAATCAAGCACTCGATCTCTCCGGCCCCATATGCCTTTCCAGTCATCACTCTACTACGAGATGTAATATTTGCCCCATTTAAGATAATCAGTGATTCCCTCCTGAAATACATGGGGAGCCTTTGTAAACATACACTACCCATCATGCTGCAGCCCAGCGCCAGCATTTCAGTTCACATGTGTGCATTTGGTGCTTTTGGCTAATGAGATAGCATCCTATCTCTATATAGGTGTCCTTTTTTTAATTAAACTGCCTTTTCTCTGGAAAATACCACACAATTCCATTCTCAAATCACTGTTCAGAAGAGTGGCAAGTGGAGAAAGTGGGGCAGCACCTACTGGCTCTTTTTTATGATACTGCTCAGAATTTCAGGCGTTGTATCTGAAAGTCAGAATGGTATGTGACAGTCTTTACCAAAATGTCAGACTCCAAGATTGTGGCATTTGCTAGGAAAGAGACACTAATACAACTCACCGTATGGTGCACCCTCCTGTGAAAAAAATGTTTCATCATGTTTTCTGTCTTCTGTTTTTAACCTAGTGACTGGTCTGACTGGCAAGAATACCCTGTCTGTGCTGTCTGTCTGTTTTGTGAAAAGCAAGAAGAAACAATAGATAAATTGTATGTGCACATGAAGGTGAGATGCTTTATCTCCTTGATTTTGTTAGATTCTGATAGTGAAGCTCATGGTCATTGGACCCTCATTTACTCACTGTGGTGGTTTATGTTGACTGTCAATTTGACAGGACCTACAAGCTCCTAAAGGGAGCCTCTGGGCACCCTTGAGGGCTTTTCTTGACTAGGATCATTTAGATAGGATGTTCCATCCTAATGTGGACAGCAGTCACTTTATGGACTGGATCCCAAACTTAGAAGAAAGAGAACTGAGCAGCAGTATCTGGCACTCTCTGCTTTATCCTTTCTCCCTGAAGGTTTTTGTTTTTGTTTTGCTTTTGTCAAGATATGTTAATCTCAGCATGGAGACAGGCAGGAAACTAAAGCACACATCCTCCAATCATTATTCCATTCCTGAAAGTTCAGTGGACAAACAGAAGAGACGGGGTAGGTCCATCCAGGAGGACCAGGGGCAGTACTAGGATGAAGAGTGGGACCTCAGTGGTCACTAGCTTAGGTTGCCACCTTCGAGCTGCTCACCTGGTAATTCTAGCTCAGAAGCTGAGATCTGCAGCCACCCTTGCAATACCCAAATCTTTTGGCTTCTTTTCTTGCTTTCTGTACTGTTGAGTAGGGTAGAAAGAACAGAAAACTTGCTATTCACAAAGGTCAAGAGTGGAACTGGACATACTTTGGGTTTAGAGCCACTTGAAGAACGAGGAGTTAGAAAGAAGAAACATAGATGCATCCCCAGTCTGCTTTCCCCTCTGGGTATCATGTTTATATTAAGGTGAAGCTCGACACCTGTAATTCTGAACCTTTATTATCTCAGTATACCCCATAGATACTCCCTGTATGTTTATGTCACCCTTGACTGAATGCTGGGGTAAAGGAAAGAATATATAATGATGTGGACAGCACCACACAACTTGGGAATAATTAATCGTAATAGTAATAATAATAATAATAATAATAATAATATATTTCTGAAGAGTTCTGACATTCTCTCACAGTCTTCTCAGCTGCAAATGTCTATAGTTGACACCTCTTCTTCACTTACCTCGACTCCTCCTCATTCAGAAATACTGTTCTTAATTGAGCAAAATAAGGACCTGCACAAAAGTGGAAAGATTATGGGCATATATCCTTATGGATCTTTTTTTAATAGGTTAGGAGTTATAATAACACTAGGGTGGATACATGTAGATCTATAGATATATATAGACATGTAGATCTATAGATATATCACCATGTAGGAATGACCTTTCTGGTATCCCCACAGGGGTCATTGATCCTGGTCAGTCACTCTTGGTGGTAGCATGTCATGAATTCCTAAGCATTCTGCATCCAATGTGGCTGCCACAGTGAGCTAGATGGTTTTTTTTTTTTTTTCTGTGAGCTTGTAAGTTTGAACAGATAACTGGAGAAAGAGGACAAGCATAATACAGTAACTCTCTATACTGCGGCAGTCCAAAGGGGTGTGGAGAGCCTGAGTGTTCAAAGCATCACTTATTTGTGATTTTCTAACACCTGGTTCTGGAATTATGGTCCAGATGCCCTGCATACTACAAACACAACTTACCACACACTCTTATCAGGCTAGACATTTCAGACATGGTAAACTAAAAACTGCACCAATGAGCTATAACTAATTAAAACGTTTTACTTGATTGATGTGTCTTATTTGGATTGTGCTTTTAAGAACTGCTGACCATGGAGGGAAGTAGTTAGAATTAGAAGGTTTCAAAAGCAGAAGAAAATAAACTCAGATTGCTTCCAACATATTCAAGCCCCTGTGAGTCAGATGTCTGTTTATAACATCAGCCTGAAAGATTAAAAAATTCATATGCTTACAAATATATTCCTTCCCTTTTTTTAGGACACACATGAGTTTGATCTCCTCAGAATAAAGTCAGAGCTCAGTAAGTTTGGTTGGGAAGTTGTTTTCTGTGACGATGCACTTTTATGAAGTGTCCTATAAATGGTGCCCATATCCTGTCGCAGTGACTGGGAAGCTGCAGTCGCAACGTCTATCTCTGTGCAGACACTTACAAGAACTCACTAAAGCAATGATCTTGAGTTCTAATCTTCAAAGATGTATTGTTTTTGATGTCACATACTTTCTTCCACTCTCCTACATATATGAGTGCTTTAATAAATTAGAAGAAGAGGCTAGCAGAAAGAGCATGGGTTTATGGGGGCTTAGGGTTTTGTATCATTATTTATTTACTATTTTGTTCTTGAGGCAGGGCTTCATTCACTGTGCAGCTCTGGCTGGCCTGGAACCTGCCAGGTAAATCAGGCTGGCTTCAGACTCACAGCGATCTGGCTGCCTCTGCTGGGATTAAAGGAATGTACCACCACCTCCCAGCTAAGAGCTCAGATTCTTAAAATCAGATGACAGTAGTGTTCAGACTTCAGCATTTATGGTGTATGTGACAGTAGGCCTCAGGGCAGAAAATAGTGACCTGTGTGTACAAAAATATGCAGCTGCAAAATCTTGAATGGTTTCCGAATGAGTAACATTGATATGATAATGACTTGGAAGTTTAAATGTATTAAGACATGGCAAGTGGTTCTATTCGAGCACAGCAGATAAGCCCTATACTGGTGTCCATTATTGTACTATAATTGTCCCAGCTTCTCAGGTTGCTTAATTAGGACAAATATCTCCTGCAAGAAATTATAACAAAACAGTTTTAATGTTTTCTACATAAAAATGGTATATATTATAGAATATATAGATCTTAAGATATCACATGATATGCTGTGAATATTTAAGCTTTTATGTATCAGTTTAAAATAACTTATCAAAGGAAATGAATTAGTGCAGAAATAATGCTAAAGGCTGTCTAATGATTTTCAGGGTTAAATTTCTATCAGCAAGTGAAGCTGGTCAATTTTATTCGGAGACAAGTTCACCAGTGCAGGTGCTACGGTTGCCATGTGAAGTTCAAATCCAAAACAGACTTAAGGGCTCACATGGAAGAAGCTAAACACACCTCACTACTTCCTGACAGAAAGACCTGGGACCAACTGGAGTAAGTCTGGCTGAACTGGACATGGATCTCTGTGCCCTGTCCTCCTTATTGTCTCTTTATTTTACTTAGCTTCTTTAAACTTACAAACACATACGAAACTAACTTGGAAACACATGAAGGCATTATTTTGGAATCTGAGTTGGGTAGTCATGCATAACTATAGTTCAGAATAGAAGTAGATACAGACTTTTAAACTATATTTTATTAATAAAACATTCTAAACACCTTTTCCTATCTGATGCTTGTCTGTCTGTCTTTTTTAATGGCTGTCAGATATCCCATTGAATAGTATATCCTAACTTGTTTGGCTATTTCTTACCTTTTGCTATTATAAATAGTAATGAAATAAATAGCTGTATGCCTGTATTTGTGTATTCATCAAATTATATCATTTAGATTAAAATTAACATGTCAATGACATGTACATCATGGAGTTTCTGGTATACATTTTCCATATTGAGTCTTTAAAACATTAAATATTTGTCCTCTGATACGAACCTATTGCAATAAGTGCTGTCAAATTTCCCAAGTATCATTGCCAGTCTAATCCTTCTATGGTGGTTCTCACATTGTTCTTGTTAAAGTCAATGGAGGGAGTAGGATGCTAGCTGCCTGAACAGTTCTCCATCCTCAGAGAACATTAAATGAGGCCTCCACAGAACTCTAACCAAATCGCTCTGCTTTTCCTTATTTGGAAAATCTGTTTATGAGGGCCGAAGTCAACTGTCTGTTGAACTGGTGCACTGTTCTTGGTTCTTACACAGAGTCAAGATGAAGGAACTAGTAATGGTTATGCTCTTGTTGGGTATGTGAAATTTTACTACTAAAAAAAAAAAAATAGCCACTTTGAGTCTGTACTGATGGGGTTTCTCACCACAAGAGATACAGAGCTGGGTGGCCTGCTAGCGAGACCAGATGCCATCAGGCTCATGTCAGACAGGAAGGGTTGGGGAAAGCAACAGGGCTGTCTCCCAGTGCAGCCTTTGCAGCTGTGAAAATGTCGGTAAATGGCAAAGCTGGCACTGTGTATACCCAGGATGTGGCAAAGCTGGCCTGGTGTGCACTCAGGATATGGCAAAACTGGCACTGTGTGCACCCAGGATGTGGCAAAGCTGGCATGGTGTGCACTCAGGATGTGGCGAAGCTGGCATGGTGTGCACTCAGGATGTGGTAAAGCTGGCATTGTGTGCACTCAGGATGTGACAAAGCTGGCACTGTGTGCACTCAGCTGCTTAGACATTTCTGGGAACTTTGCTCATTTGGTTATTTGGTGTATCTGTGGTTGCTTTCAGGTATTATTTTCCCACCTATGAGAATGACACTCTCCTGTGTACACTGTCTGACAGTGAAAGTGACCTGACAGCTCAAGAGCACAATGAAAATGTCCCTGTCATCAGTGAAGATACATCCAAACTGTGTGCTTTGAAACGAAGCAGTGTCTTGAACCAACTGCTACTCCAGGAACGCCTAGAAAACTAGGAGAGACTGCTGCAGATTCTGTTGCATGGTTTTCTCCATGAGACAAATAGGAAAGAAGAGCTCAGATTTGATTGTCAGCAAAGTATTATTCACTGGAGAAATCATGCTTGTTCTTAATGAAACTTTTTTCAAGGAATAAAGAAGAAAAATGTGGCATTTTTATATTTGGACTGGGAAATTATCGTGGTTATCATAAATGATTTCATTTCATAAACTAGAGATTATCGACAGTAAGGAAAACTAGGAAGTCACAAATAAACATTCAAATATATAAACCTGATTTTAACTGTTCCAGTCTTCCCACAGGCCTCTGTCACCTACAAGTCACACATTGCAATGTGATTTCCTTACTAAATTGGTAACCTATGGATGTAATAGTTCAAAGAAGGCCTACAGAAGCACAGACAGATGGAAAGTCACCCTTCTCTTGGAACGTAATGCAGTGACATTACAATACCTAGAAAAGTTAAAAGGAACTTTTCGTTTTTAGTTTTCCCAGGTGGTCTCAAAAATGTCTTCTTATAATAGTACCAGCTGTGAGACAGGTGAATGACCTCTACTAAGATGCACTCAAGAAAACAAAAATCACTTTTGTGGATTTCTACCAGAAATGAATAGCCTAGATAACCTAGATAAAATAAACACCAGTCAAACCTAAGTTAAGTGACAGTCTTATAAAGATATCAAGGTCATAAAAAACAAAAGCCCACATACTATTCCATATTAAGGGTGATGGATGGATTGGATGCAGGAATGAAACCTGTGGAACCATTGGAAATATTTGACAGGATTTGCTTTAGTTTACTGTTCTTGCTGTGGCCAAAGCCTGGCAAAAATGGACCTAAGAAAAAGGGAACCTATTTGGGATCACCATTCTGGGGAACAGCCTACGAGGTAGAGAAGCAGCAATGGCAATGTTGCAGCTCCTGAGGAACACTTTTTCCTGTTACTTTAAGGGGGACTCCAGCCCATCTTATGGTGTCACATACACACACACACACACACACACACACACACACACACACACACACAGAGTAGGTTCTCCTACCTCGATCAAATTTGAAAGTCATTCCCAGGTATCTCCTAGGGACTCTAGATCCTATGAAGTTGGCAGTGTTAACCATCACAACATTGCTGTTAATTGACAGATTTCGATGGCTGTACTGTCATGTTTCAGAAAGGTCTTGTGTTTAGACCCATACACACCAAGCATGCTACACAACACTGGGTTCTGGTTTGTGAGGTTTGAGGCTTCCCTGGTTAATGCCAGTCTGTATGGTATGATGTCATCTGGATTTGTAATCACATCTGCTCACACTATATCCTTAGGTGCCCACACATCACACTCCGCAGATGGATATCCATGTAGGCTTCTCATGAGAACCAAGCACACAAAGAAGTGGGCACCCTTATTATGAAATGCCTAAGTAAAAGACAAGTTACAAAGACAAGTGTTCTCCTGATCCTAGAACACTGTCTCTAGCAAACAGATTGGTTGGGGAAATCAATGTGTCTGGAGTGTTCTCTAGAGTGTTCTTCAGCTTAGGACAGAAGCAAACAGATGTAAGTTCACAACTGAACCAAGAATAGCAAGCTTAAGAAGGAGAAAGCTTTGGGGCTGAGGAAAGTGATGCCTTGGAAATAAAATCAGGTGTGAAAGGGAGAGTGAAGCTTCAGGGAAGGGGAAGGAATGCTTGGCGCTGAAGTCAGAAGAGCTAACTTGAGGGGAGGGAGCAGATGGGTCTATTTAAGGATCAAAGGTGTAACTTAGATCCAATCAAATCTAATAATAAAAGCAAAATTACATCGAATCACAGTGACTCTGAGGGACCAGGAAGGCAGGCGAATACTGGCCAAGGCCTGTCAGAGCTGCAAAGACTCCTTGCCTAATACCATTGGAGAACTTTTTGTAGAATAAGTGTGGAGGCACACCTAACAATCCCAGCACTTGGGAGGCTGAGGCAGGAGAATCACAAATTCAAGGATAGCCTGGAATCATAATAAGACTGTCAGAAGCCAGAGACACTGAGGAGATGGTTCAGTAGCAAAGAGCACTGCAAAGGACCCAAATTCTGTTCCCAGAACGGGAGTTAGCAGGTGTCACTCCAATTAAAGATAGAGACGTGAGTGTTGCTGTGTCCATCAGAAACATACCTCAGAAAGTTTTGGTAAAATGAAGACAAGAAAGGTAAGACATACAAAAAGAAACCAGGGACATTGGTGGCGCCCACCTTTAATCCCAGCACTCTGGGAGGAAGAGGCAGGTGGATCTCTGTGAGTTCGAGGCCATCCTGGTCTCCAGAGCGAGTGCCAGAATAGGCTCCAAAGCTACACAGAGAAACCCTGTCTCGAAAAACCAAAAAGAAAGAAAAGAAACCAGGCAGGACAGTGATGAAATCTGATCCTAGATTGGGATACACAGAGAGGGGACAACATTTATGTAGGAGTGTGGGAAGGATGCAGTTAGCAAAACAGCACTGTCCTGGTAGAACGGCCTCTTGCTTGGAAAGATGGGCTCAACCATGTTCGATATTGAAGTTAATGGTTAATCCTAGCACACAGATATCAAAGATGATGAGTGTTGGAAAGAAGACAGACTCTCTTTCTTTATCTGCCCCTTTGTCACTCCTACAAGAGAGATGGATGCATTTTCTAACTGTGAACCTGGAGTCCAAGAACCAGGTACCTGTGCCTTAGCCCCTTCCTCCTTCTACTCCTGTGGTCTGTCTTTCTACAAGGAGCACACCCAGTTCCACACCTGCATTCAGCCTAACATTGTGATTGTGTACAAAATCAGAGCAAACAGGAGGAACTTCATTCACTCACAGCTGTAAGCCATTTTCTTCAGTATCATCTTAATTTGCAATAAATGTAGTATTTCATCTCCCTCTGATTGACCATATCAGCCAGCCCTTCCAGAAGAAACACAGGTTATGTGGGATGATGGAATGGCCGACATTCTTAGGAAATCACTTTTGGAGAATTACTATTAAATACATTAAACCTAGTCAGTCAGTCAAACACATCAAAGATTTAGTTCCACATAACACTAAAGGCTGGGCAAGGAAGCCATACAATTGGTGGCTGGGACATAAATTGGTGAACTAAATGGACATAAACACCTGGAAAGAATAACAGCACCAGGTTTAATTTTATCAGAAGCTGACCTTGAAATAAAAATTTACATACATACATACATAGGAGGCAACCAGAAGTAATGCCCATTTAGGAGGTGGAGACCTGGGAAACAGAAGAGACTACTGCAGTGGGAACTGGTGTTCATCCTCACTGAGGGCCTGAGGGAGAAGGAATACTGTTCAGATTTCCACTCTCACCCACCCACCACCCCCACCAAACAGCCAAGAGTACTACCACCAATTCTCTGATCTTGAGCCCAGGAGTACTGTATCCCCCAGCACATGGGGCCTTGCACACGGTCCAATACCTTGTGAAGGCTATAGGAAGTCCTCTTACAGACAGGAAGCCATAAAGAAAGAAAATAAGGTGTGGGTAGGAGACCTAACCACTGAAGTTGCATTACCACCAAGAAGAGCTTAGCAGCCCACCCGTCTTTTTCATGTCACCTCACTTGTCAACTTGGAACACAATATCATGAGACATGCAAGTAGGGATTCTATATGTTCACCCACATACGTGTGTGTGTGTGTGTGTGTGTGTGTGTGTGTGTGTGTGTGTGTGTGTGCTTGCACACATGTGCATGTACATGTATATACACATGTATGTGGGTGGGTGAGCCCACAGAAGCCAGAGGATGACATCAGGTATCTTCCTGCATCGTCCTCCACCACACTGCCTTGACGCAGGGTCTCTCACTGAACCTAGAGCTAGCTGGCAGCTAGAAAAGCCCAGTGTCCCTGTTGCCTCCACTTCTGCACAGTGCTGAGATTACAGGTGCAAAAAAAGGCTTTCACATGGGCGTTGAGATTCAAATTCAGGCCCTCATACTTGAATAGCAAGCAGTATTCAGCAAGTCCTCTCTCCAGGGCTCTAAGTAGGAATTCTAATCCCCATCAAAGATAGAATTAGACAGATGAGAACTTGCTCAAAAGAAAAACAGTACAAAAAATAATATATGGAAATTTAAAATAAAAAAAACAGACCTGAGAATTTTAAATGAATGGGAGAAAGCAAATTCTTAAGGAGAAAGTAGAACATAAAATAAAAACAAGATTTTTCTTAATGTAAGTGCTTTGTTGAATTTTTATACAGAATTAACACACCAGTCCATTTCCATCAAAGGCATTGAATTGCAGCTATTGTTCTTAAACTGCAAAAACAGACACCCAATATCCTAGAAGCTCAATTCAACTCTTTCAGTGAGTTTTAGATGATAGATAGCTAGAAAATTAACCATGGGCTGCAGTTGAACCTTTATGCCTATAATTGATATTTTGAAAAAACTAAAGCATGTTCAGTCCCTGATTTTGGCAATTTGCAAAATTGAATGGAATGCCAAGCCCGTTAATTCAATCTAAAAACATTTCACAAAATTTGTAATTCCAGAGTGGTCTAAAACTCAGGTGAAACTGTGTCCTTTGAGGCATTTAGAATTAGACCGTAAAAAAGAAAGAGCTTTTAAAATATTCTCAGTCAATTAATTTGGATACAGAATGAGAAGTAGATAAAAGTGTCTCAATTTGGAAAAAATTAAAAGAGCAGACAGTATGCTGTGTAATTGATGAAAGGAAACATATCCCAGTTTCCTGAGAAACCTCCACACTGACATCCAACGTGGCTGTACAAGTTTGCACTCCCACCAGCAATGGAGGAGTGTTCCTCTTGCTCCACATTCTCTCCAGCCTGAGCTGTCACTTGGGTTTTTTGGTCTTAGCCATCCTCACAGGTGTAAGATAGAATCTCAGAGGCATTTTGATTTGAATTTCCCTGACGGCTAAGGATGTTGAACATCTCCTTAAGTGTTTCTCAGCCATTTGAGATTCTTCTGTTGAGAATTCTCTGTTTAGATCTGAACCCCGTTTTTTAATTGGATTATTTGGTTTGTTGATAGCTAGTTTCTTGAGTTCTTTAAATATTTTGGAAATAACCCTCTGTCAGATGTGGGGTTGGTGAAGATCAGACTGACCCCTCCCTTATCAATAAAATATGCCATTCTGTAGGCTGCCGTTTGTCTGGTTGATTGATGGTGTCCTTTGCCTTGCAGAAACTTTTCAGTTTCATGAGATCCCATTTATTAATTACCTGTGCTATTGGTGTTATGTTCAGGAAGTTCTCTCCTGTGCCAGTGCTTTCAGGATTATT